TATTACCCAGAGGGTCTGTTGAAAGAGATTGAAGGCCCAACCCCTTAAAGTTTCTGATTCAGTAGATCTGAGATGGGGCCTAAGAATTTGTATTTCTAACAAGTTCGCGGGTGCTGCTGCCACTGCTGGGTGAGGGACCACACTTTAAGAGCCACTAATCTAAATAAGTATACCATACGGATAGAAAAAATATTGTGAGACATCAGTTCTACTCAATTTGAAGAACTTCCATGAAGTCCAATCAAAATCCCAGCATGGGTGTGTGTGTATATTTATGTGTATGTGGAAACTGACCAGCTGATACTGGAAATAAAAAGGGCCAGCACAGACTTAAAGAACAGCAAAACAGGAGGGCTTCAAACTCGGGACACACTATAATGTTATAATTAAAACAGTGTTTTATCATTGTACAAACAGACAAGTAGACAAATGAACAGAAAAGAGAATCTAGAAACAGATGGACTTGTGACCTGTCACCTGATTTACAACCAAGGGGACCTGCAGTGGGGAAACGATAGCCTTTTTTTTTTGGCTGCGTTGGGTCTTCGTTGCTGTGCACGGGCTTTTCTCTAGTTGCGGCGAGCAGGGGCTACTCTTTGTTGCAGTGCACGGGCTTCTCATTGCGGTGGCTTCTCTTGTTGTGGAGCATGGGCTCTAGGCGCGTGGGCTTCAGTAGTTGTGGCACATGGGCTCAGTAGTTGTGGTTCGTGGGCTCTAGAGCGCAGGCTCAGTAGTTGTGGCACACAGGCTTAGCTGCTCCGAGGCATGTGGGAATCTTCCTGGACCAGGGCTCGAACCTGTCTCCCCTGCATTGACAGGCAGATTCTTAACCACTGTGCCACCAGGGAAGTCCCGAAACGATAGTCTTTTCAAGCAGTTTTGCTGGAACAGTTGGGTATCAGTGTAGGAAACAGCGAATTGTGACCTCATACCATACATAAAAGTTCATTCCGATGAATTGTAGCACAAATATGGAAGTTTAAAAACAACCATGCTTTTAGAATAAATAAAAGCAGGTGAATGTCTTCATGACCATGGAGTAGGTAGTGGTGTCTTAAATAGGACACCAAAAGCTCTAAAGAAAAGACTGATACATTGTACTACACTAAAATTAAGGACTAGTCACCAGAAGACCCCCATTAACAGAGAGAAAAAGCAAGCCACTGGGTAGGAAAAAATATTTGCAATAAATACACCCACAAAGGATTTGTATCAAGTATGCATAAAAGAACTCCTACAAATGATTTCTTTAAAGACAACTTGATAGAAAAATAGGCAAAAGACTTGAACAGGCACTTCATAAGAGGATCTCCAAACAGCCAGTTAAGTATTATGAGGAAAAAAATCTCAACACTGCTGTCTTCTTGGGAATGTACTGACTATCAGAAGGAGATGCTACCATATGCAGGACCATGCACCAAGCAGTGTGTTGGTCCAGCCGCTTGGGAGAACTGTTAGGCTATGTCTACCAAAACAAACACGTATCTTATGACCCAGCAGTTGTATATAGGTATATATTGCTTCTCTTCCCAGCAGTGTTCTGTTCTGCTACCTAAGCCATGCTGTAGGTATCTCTCCCCAGCAATATTCTGTTATTCCTGTTTACTGAACCCATGCCATGGACAGTCCCCTTTTCCTGAGTGGACTTCCTTCAGGATTCAGCTAACATGGCCAAGCTAGTTTGAGAAATTTGCATGTGTTCTTGTGCTAATCATCCCCCAAACAAGTATATACTCTGCCTGAAACTAAAGAAAAGTCTCTAAACCTCTGGACGCTGCAGGCTCTGTGATGGGCCTGGATAGGTGGGCATTTGAAGACCTCTCAGATCACGGTATGAAGTGCATTATTCTATACCACATGGACCAACTCTTAGTCACCTTTGCTTCCACTATATTTTTTCCTGTTGTTTTATCAAAATTTATTTTCATCGTAGAGACTCAAATACTTTTATAAGGTTTATAAAAAGCATTAGCCTTACTTGTACCCCTCCCCCCATTTCCGACTCACTGGAGGCAACGACTTTTAACTCATTCCTGTTTGTTATTTACCTTCATTTTCCCCCACTATTGACATTTTATCCTTTCAGTACTTTTTGTATTTGTGGATATATGAAGTATACATATATTGATATTTAAATCGAGGCAACTCTTTCTTATCTGCATTTTTTTTCACTTAACATTATATTCTTTTGAAAACACCATTTAAAATGGCTGTTCAATATTCCATCTGTGAATGTGCCCTGATTTGTTCAACCATACCTTTATTGTTGGACATTTTAGGTGGTTTCTCATTTTCTTGCTACCATAAATACTGATATAATTAGTATACCTGTGGGTGTGGGTGTGTGTGTTGCTCTAGAGGAATTGACTCACAGATACATGCTTTGTCTCATAACTTTAGTTTTTCCTGTGGTTGATAATTGCTTTGGTTTTATGTGCTTTCTTTGTTCATGTTCTGTGTGGCTCCATGGCTTGCTCTGAACTAGGTTGGTTGTTCACTGCACAGTTGACATCCTGGGGACAGCATTGTTATCCTGGGGTTCCCTCTGCTTTCTCTCATTCTCTCCTATATTCTGGCTCCCAGGTTTTTCTTCTTGGTTCCTCCCTTGTCTAGGGGAACAGCCCTACCTCCACCGCCCTGCAGTAGCTTCCTGAGAAAGGCATGCATGGGAGATCTGCTGGTTAGACCTTGTGTGTCTTAAAAACTCCATTATTGGGACTTCCCTGGTGGTGCAGTGGTTAAGAATCCACCTGCTAATGCAGGGTACACAAGTTCGAGCCCTGGTCCAGGAAGATCCCAATGCCGCAGAGCAACTGAGCCCGTGCGCCACAACTACTGAAGCCCGCGCGCCTAGAGCCCGTGCTCCGCAACAAGAGAAACCACCGTAATGAGAAGACCGCACACTGTGACGAAGAGTAGGCCCCGCTCACCACAACTAGAGAAAGCAGCAACGAGGACCCAACGCAGACAAAAATAAATAAATTAATTAATTAAAAAAAACCACACACACCATTATTCTACTCTAACTTTAACTTGATTATGTACGAATTCTAGTCCTGAATTCATCTGGAATTTTAAAGGAATCACAACATCGTCTTCTGGCTTCCAAAGCTGATGCTGCTGCTGAGAAGTCTGTTGCTGTTCTGACTCCTGATGTTTTGTTATGTGACCCATTTTCCACTCTGGGAAGCTTTTAGTATCTCGCCTCGTCTCCCATGGCTGAAATTTCAATGGATGGGCCTTGGCATAGGTCTGTTTTATTCCTGTCCATCAGGTTATTCTCACGACCCTTTGATCTGGATACTCACATCCTTCTGTTTAAGGACATTTCCTTGAATAATTTTACTTGTTTACTTTGATCATTTCTTCCCCTCTATTTTTCCTCATTCCTCTTTCTGGAACACATTATTCAGATGTTGGCCCTCCCACTCATATTCTCTAGTTTTCTGCTTAAAAATTTTTTTTTGACTTTTTGTTGTACTTTTCCGGTTTCTCTACTTTATCTCTAGGCTTCTATTTCATTTTTTTCTGTCATAGTTTTAATTTCTAAGAGCTCTTTTCTGTCTTCTGGTTTTTAAAAATAGCATCAGATTCTTGTTTATGGTTTCAGTCTCTCCTCTGATCCCTCTGAGGATGTTCATGATCATCTTTTTGGAATTTTCACCATTCTGCATAGTTTGTTTCTTACAAGTTGCCTTTTTTTCCTTCTTATCTTGTTTTAATGTGTCTTTCATGTTAAAGGTTTTTCTCAGCTGCTTGGTGATCATTAGCTATATGAACACACTTAAGAGCAGAATGTTAAGAAACTGATTAAGAATTCTGTGCTGGGGTTTGTTGACGGTGATTTCACTGGTAGAGTGATCTTGCTGAGCTGTTTCCCTGGGGAGCTCAAGGTGTCCACCTCTTGGTTCTTGGACCATTCACATCCCCAGAGAAGACCCTTTCAATCCTCTGTCCAGAGGGCCAGTTTGATTCCCTGACTCCCAGTTTTCAGAACGGTTCTTTACCACGAACTTGGCTTGATGCCCCCCGGCTTTACTTTCTTTAAGAACAAACATCTAGTTTTCTGCCTGGGTGACCTGATTGCTTCTGAAAGAGACTCTCGTCCAGTTCTGCTCTTTTCAATGTCATCTTAGCCAGACTTCCAGAACTGCCCAGCACCTCCCCGACGCTGTGCTGAGCCTTGTGAGGGCTCTCCATGCCACAGCAGGTTGATTCTGGCCCCACCCCCAGCTGCTGACTAAGATTCACCTTTCTTGGATTCTCTGAGTCAGTCACCACCTGTCCTTCTGCTGTCTACCTTCCCACATGTTGTTGCTATCACCTCATTTCCTATGATATTTGTTTTAGTGAGGTTTCTGGAGGGAGAGGAGATAAATATGTGAGTTCACTCCACTGTCTTTAACTAAAGATCCCCCCATTGCCATTACGGGGAAACCAAGCATATCTGTTGGCAGTAAGTTGAAAAGACCTCTTCCAAGGAGATACTGAAGAATTGCTTTCTTGTCATTGACTCACAAGAAAAAAAGTGTAGGGCTTCCCTGGCGCAGTGGTTGAGAGTCCGCCTGCCAATGCAGGGGACACGGGTTCGTGCCTCGGTCCGGGAAGATCCCACATGCTGCGGAGCGGCTGGGCCCGTGAGCCATGGCCGCTGAGCCTGCGCGTCTGGAGCCTATGCTCCGCAACAGGAGAGGCCACAACAGTGAGAGGCCCGCATACCGTGAAAAAAAAAAAAAAAAAGAACAAAAGTGTCTAAGATCCGTAATCTGCTACACCTTTTGGACAAACTTCTTTCTCATGCAAGTCGAATGGTGAGGGACACACAGGCAGAGGTGTGCCAGCAGGGTTGCCTGGATGGTGCACTCTCCCTAGACGGGAAATTGGAGGGTGCCATGAATTCCACCCCAGGCTCTGTATTGATCCCTACATTGTTGTGGGGTGTTTTCCCTTCAGTGAAACCACTGTTGCTTTTATTCCTCATGTCCAAACCTTTTGTACAGGATGATGAGAGCCTGAAGTACCTCACACATGAGGAAAAGGACGTCCTCCTGTTTTTTGAAGAGACGATTGATTCCCTGGAAGACGACTTTGAGGAACAGGTGCTGTGTGATGGTGATGCTCAGTGCCACTCTCCACGGTCTCTGGAAGAGAGCACTTCTGGTCCCTCCGAGCCAGAGGACGTCGTGGACTTAGTGCAGCTGGGCCCTGGAGCCGGGGAACCCGAGAGCCTTCGGGATGTGACGGAGGCAGCAGGTGAGGACCAGAGAACAGGTCCCCCACCTCTGACGTGGCTTGTCGTGTGGTACAAGACACAGAGGCCCTCCTTTCTGTCGTGTTCTCTGTGTTTCCAGCCAGTATAGTAGTTCGTGGGGCTGATCAGATTTTTGTAGGGTAGAAGCATCCTCTTGGTAGTCTGATTGTCCAGCCAAGTAGGTGCTTTCATGGCATATTGGGATGAAAACACATGGAAGGGAAATTTCAAAAGGGCGAGAATAAAGAATGAGACTAATTGGGCAAACAAACATTGCATACGTGGATAAAAGAAAAAAGAAAACTAGAAATGGCTTCAGGAAACAATCCCATTCTACAAAGAAAATATACAAAGGACTTGTACTTTAGCCTTTGAGGTTCAATCTCAATTCTTGTGCAAGGTTATACCCCTATTCCAAGGTGGGAGTGTTTGAACTGAAAAGTCAGCTGGTTCAGGAAAACAAAAATGATCAGAACAAAAATACAGCTCAGCATCTGCTTTGTAAAGTTTGCTTGATTCAGGGTGGCATCAGAGGAGAGGTATGCTTTTTGCCCCTTGAGTTCTGTGATAGAACCAGAGGGACACGGACAAGGAGAAAACGTTCTCCCAATTTTTTTTTTCCTGGTTGGAAAAGATATTGGAAATGTGGACAAAGGGATAAGGATTGGAAAAGATGAGGGAAAAATAGGATGGAAAATATCTTGGCTCTGTTGACTACAAAATACTTCCATTTGTCACAAGCCTCTAGAAATATATCCCCACCCCTTTATTTTTTGTAAGCAAGGCTGTGTATTACACAGAATTTCATGTACTATTGGTTATATGTTCCAAATATGGGGCTGAGTTTGCAGCCATCTCTTCAAAGAAGAGACTTAATATGAACTTCCCCTTTTTATCACTTCTTCTTTGAAGTTTAGTTCCTAAAATTAATTTGAACCACTGATCCCTTAAAAATGTCAGGTCATATAATTGTGCCAAGGAAAACATTTTTTTGAAAGTAAGCCACTTGCCCATCAATTCTCTAACATGATGTTTTCATAACAACTTTAAGTGCCCACTCTGTGACAGGCATTGTGTGAGATTCTGAGGATACAAAGATAAATATAATACATAGCTCCCAGTTTTGTAGCAGACACGGGTGTATAAATACTAGTGCAGAAAAGTGTTAGGTGATCTGTGATCACGTATGTTAGGATATAGTAAAGAATCATAGGCTGGTGTATTAAACTGTACTGGAGGCTGTCAGGAAACATTTCTGTTTCTAGAGGAAAGTGACACATCCAATTATCCTTCATCTAGAGAGACCTGAGGGAGGGGTTGGTGGGTACCACAAACTTCCCAGCCTCCATTTCCCCTCTGTAAAATCCCCCATAAGGTAAGCTGTTGTTTCCTCCTGTTACATGTCTCAGGATGATGGCTCCTTAGAAACTTGCATTTACCATATGCTTCCCAGGTACTGACTATTTCTGGCTTGCACATCTTTCACCACTGCTAATTCATTCTTTCTCATCAGGTGATTATGAGAATCATATACTATGTTCTCTTTCGCTAGTCCAGGGAATAGGGTAGAGGGAGTTTAGCTTACAAGAGGTACTGTTGAAATTGGTATTGAATCCCTTTGAGACCTTCGTAAATTCAGTGAAAAGGAAACGTGATGCATTTATTTCTGCATATGGTGGTAGCTTATGAGAATCCTTGCTACTTTGCAGGGGCTGTCGCTGTTGGAAAGGAAGACACCCCTGTCCTCAGGAAAGAGGATGCTGAGAAGTCTCCCCTGCCAGACCCCCCAGGTCCCGAGGCCCTGCCCCTGCCGCCTCCCAGCCCTGTCCCCGCAGCAGCCCCGGCCCACTCCGGGAGAGAGCCCCCTCCTACTCCAGCAGAGCACCCCAAACTGGCCCGCTCGGTCCCCACTCCGCTCGTCATCGCCCAGAAGATGTCTGAGAAGCTGGCAGGGAACGAAGGGCTCTCGCCCACATCCCCGTCCAAAGAGGGCAGGCCTGCAGGATGGAGGACGCTGACTTCCGTGGCCCCTCGACACGGAGAACACTCGCTGTGGCACAGACACGCCGCACAGCCAGCGCCCAAGATCCACCGCTTCCCGAGCAACATCAGCGTGACCAACAGCGCGGGGAAGGACTTCAATAAGACCATCTCCAAGGCCGCGGTCAACGTGCAGGAGCGCAAAGCCCAGGTCCTGGCCAACATCAATGGGGTCTCCTTCCTCTCCGTGGGGGAGACGGAGGACCGGGCCCAGAGGAGCGAGCCCACCGAGCAGAGAAGAAGCGTCTCCCCGGAGCAGAGCCAGCCGGGCCCGGCCCGGGAGGCTGTTCCCGCGCGGGCTGGGGCGCACGGCGGCCAGCAGTCCAGAGGCGTGCAGACGGAACAGCCCCTGCCGGTGGCCAACGGCTTCCAGAGCCTCCACGACATCCTCAAGAGCCATCCCGGGCCCTTTGTCTCTACAGGGAAGACGGTCACCTTCTGTCCGGACCCGGCCCTCCCCAGCAAACTTGCACCCCGGCAGCCGGACTGCGGCCAGGACGCCAGGAAGCGGTCGGGCTCGCTCCCCCGGGCTGTGGGGTTCAGACCCCAGGGCATCACTGTCCAGTTCTCGGGCCGGGGCTCCACAGAGGAGGCCCGTCGGGAGGCCCTGCGGAAACTCGGCCTCCTGAAGGAGAACTTGTGACGGAGAGTGGGCGGCGCTGGGGGAGTTAGGGCGACCAGGTACGTGTGGCCGAACATGGATGTGCGCATGCGCACAGCACAATAGCAAAGCCCGGACTGCGGAACCCCGTGGAGGACCAGCGATGGGGGTCCGGGAGTCAGCCGACTGTCTGCCCCGCTCTGGCCCGCATCCGAGCTGGGACATCCTTCCGAACCAGAGCATCCCGCACCACATCTTCCCGTTTCCAAGAGCTCGGAGAATAACCTTGAACACCTACAGGTTTCAATGATTTGTAAATGCCATATGTTTTTTGGATCTAGGAGGAGGGGGATTGGGTCTGAATTTTCTGTTATTGAGTCTCTAATCTAACCTTTTATCCGAAGTGCATGACACGAAAACCAGTTTAGATCTCTCATACTCGTTTCTCTGAGAAAGGGACCGTCCCCTCCTTTCCAAGAAAATAAAGAAGTGCTTGTTCAATTTTCATAGTGTCTTAAAATACTGTTTTGGTTTTTTGTTTGTTTTTGAAAGGTGAAAGACAGTATGTTAGCCTAAATATGCCTTTGTTTCTTGGTCTAACTTGGTTTGCCCAGATTTTTTTAAATTGAAAATTGAAGCCTTTAGAGTATGAGTTACTGTAACATTGAGTTATGGGAGTGGAATGGAAAGGTTGAGTTTGGAAAAGGTGGTAGTTTTAAGAAAGTAAGTCTCATCAGACTACAGAGTCTGTGTTACTGGGAGATATATATATGAGCGTGTACTGTGTATATACATGTACATAATATGTGTTTATAGGTACATATATGTTATATACAGATATAGATGGTGTGCACACACACATTTCTTACATATATATAAACTTCTTAAAACCCTATTACATAACTACAGGATGCAAGCACTTCCTATTCTTTTGATACACAAGCCATCTCAGTATTGAGATAATGACATAGAAATTGTTACTTCCTAATAAGGAAGTCTTTTAAGGACACATCTCCATAACTTTTCGGTGAACCAAAGTGCTTTTTCCTCAACGTGTTCTGTTCCCAATTAAAGTAATAGTCCAAATAAGCTTCCAACTAAGCAAGAGAGTTCCTTTGTTAGTGAAGTATGCTTTTAAAGATGTCATTTATCACCTAATTTTAATTTATCACCTACTTTTAGTCTTGCATGTTCCAAGGTGGCTGGTAAACAGAAGGAAACAAAAGATTCTTAACATCCCCCATGTTCTGTGGGCAAGATCTCAGGATTAATTTAAAAGGGAAAAAACAGCGAACTAAGTTACACAGCATGAAAAGAACTGGTTTTGTCCCAGACAGTGTCTTACATGCTGAGTTGTAGCCACAAGCATTACTATCAAAACTATTTCAGGCTGGAGTCTAAAACCTCTTAAAATAGACCCGGAAGGACAACACTTGAAAGTCACACCCTTTTGTTGTATGTCTCAGCCACTGTCACAGAATCTGTTTCTTTCCTGTTGAGTATTATTTAAACTCAAACTTCTAAATGTGCTGTGAAGGACGTTTTTCATAGTATTAATTTGCCTTGTAAGTTACATAAAATGATTGTCGTGTTTTCCTTAGAACGACAGTATTTAGTGTCTCGCCCAGGCCTTGTCCTCCTGAAATAATCTCATAGATTCTTGATGGTCTTCATTTAAATATGTGCTTTGATTTTACAGGTTCTAAAAAATAGTCTTTATTTTACTCCTGTTTATGTTGGATTTGTTTAAAGGATTCTTGAGCCCTGTTATTTCCTTTTTATATAGCGAGATGCCATGTTACACAGTGTTTGAAAATAGCGGATCTTGATATGGCTAACATTTTAAATATCCCTTGTATTTGAGGATTCTTTCTTTTTTTTCTTATCCTATGACTTCGTTGTGATTAAGGTGAACTTGACTATATGTTAGTATATTTGTTCTCATAATGGCATTTTTGAAAAATAAATTTAGAGATCTATCTTAAGTATAAGCAACTTTGTTTTTGCATTTTATACTTATTCTCAGGTATTTTCTTTTAAATGGTTATATCCTTTCCTTCTGTTTATTCATAATCTTTTCCACCTACTTATTCATAATTATACTGACTGTTACTCTGGCCATTTCTTGTGCCCAAAACCCTAGTAACTAAAGCCATATATTTTGTACAAGGTTCAAATTATAGCTGCTAATGAACTAACCTATTTTTGTATGTATCACCTTAACAAAAAAAATTCATTTTCTGAGGGGCATTTGTTTCCTTGCAATAACTCTGTGATAGGACGTTCTTAAAGGGTCATCTTCAAGGGAATCTTAAGGACCATATTTCAAAGCAAACTTGTAACGAAAAGGAAAGATGAATCTTAAGTGCTCAGTTTTTTTTTTTTTTTCAAGTGATGCTTGTAAATCAGTCCATTTTAGTCTCCATTAAGATAAAGATGAAACTCTTTACCTTAATACTTAAAATCAGGAAAAGAAATTCTCCTCTGCTTTTAGGCAGGTATGTTCAAATGGCCAAACCACAGTCTCATCTGCAAAGGGTAATGCCCTGCAGTTACCAGGGTAACAGAGTCTGGTCCAGTGCCCTCCTCCTACTCTATTTGGCTAGCGTGCGTGCTTATCTTCACAAAATTGGTAGAAATGTTGATCTTTGCTTTTCTCTCCCCAGGGTCATTCTCCTCTTATAAGGCTTGTGGGGGAGAAAAGGCAGAGGTGCAGGTGTCCCTCCAGCATCTCTGAGTCTCTCAAGAGTCTCTCAAGACGCAGAGGGCTCCCCCAGAGCTGCGTTCTTGCTCTCTTCCCCCCACCCCCTGACTTCAACAATACAGGATTCTTTACTCAGAGTTCCTGATGGGTAGCTCCCAGTGTGGGCTCCCCATTTGAAACAAGTTTTCGCGAAGAGCTTCATGGAGTTGATAAGTCAGGCCTTATGGAACCCTGAGGATTGGTTGACCTTTTTATTTGTTAAAAAAAAAAAAAAAAAAAAATCAGAACTGTATTCTCTGAAATAATGCCATCTGCAGCAACATGGATGGACTTAGAGATTATGATACTAAGTGAAGTAAGTCAGACAAAGACATATACCATATGATATCACTTATATGTGGAATCTGAAATATGAAACAAATGAATTCATCTATGAAATAGAAACAGACTCACAGAGAACAGATTTGTGGTTGCCCAGGGGGAGGTCGGGTAGGGGAGGGATGGATTGGGAGTTTGCAATTAGCAGATGCAAACTAGTATATACGGAATGGATAAACACCAAGATCCTACTGTACAGCACAGGGAACTATATTCAATATCCTGTAATAAACCATAATGGAAAAGAAAAATACAAAGAATGGTATTCTTTTTTTACTGAATTCCCACAGCTCTGGCTGTGAGGAATTTGACCTTTCAGGGGATTTGATGGTTATGTTTTTTATGCACATGATCTAAGAAATCAGTTCTTTTTGTTTATTCAAGAGGAATGAAGAGAGAAAAACAAGATAAATATGAAAACAATTTACTCTTATCAAGAAACTTTTTCTGAAACGTTTGTCACCAAGTCAACACGTCCTCTGAAGGAGCAAAGGTAGTTTTTCAGTGTTTTCTTCCCCCCCACCTGTGATCCAGGAGGACGGGGAGGCGCGTGGGGAATGCTCACCTGTGAGAGGTTTGTGTTTTCATTGAAATGACAAGTCACCAAACAGGTTTTGTTTCTTCTCTTCACAACAAGGCTCTTTTTCCCTGCTTCAAAGTATGGGGAACAAGTTCCCATATCCTTTCCTAATCTACTCGCTGGAAAGGCCCTGCTTTCAATATCTGAGAAAAGAGAAGGCAGGGCTGTCAGCTGCCGAGGCCTGGGAAAGTCGGAGCCCTGCTCGGACCCTGCCAGGGAGCGCCCCGTGCCTCCTGCTTGCTGACCACGTCCTCTTCGGCGCCTGCTGGCCCTCCCCGGCCAGAAGCACCCTCTTCTCTAGAAGAAAAAAAACGCTGTTGGGGAACAAATCCACCTGTTTGCATGACAAAGGCTGGGCGACAGGCTGATGGCCAAAGGGCATCTCCCATCCCGCTCTTTTCAGCATAAAAACCTTTGTGAGTGATGGCTGCAGTCCTTCTAAAATGTCTCTTGACTCAAAAAAATATAATAAAACTCTTTCCTACACATTCCAAATTCGTAAGACTTCAGAAACGCCAGTCACTGCCGTCACCAGCAGGCTCCCTCTCCCTCCTGCTTATTGTCCTAGAGGGGACACGGATGACCCCCGGAGCCCAGTGAGGCTGCCCCACCAGGTACAAACGTGGCTCTTAATGATGTACTTCAGCCTCGCGTCTTATCCTCTAAACTGCACGAACGTCCTATTCAACAACAAGGTAAGAGAGGGGTAACGTGGTGGTTTCCAGAAATAACCTGAAGAGCCTGAACGCCAGACAAACCCAGTATTCTCTGACCTAGGTGGGGAGAACCATAAATCGCCCTAAGGAGCGGGGGGTGCCCAGGGAATCCTGCGATCCTGGGATGCCCTCTGCCTCCTGATTCCTTGGCAACCCCCTGGATCTGTCTGCCATAGGCCCCCACCAGCCCTCCTGCTTTGGGGGGCACACTAGGGTCTAGGAAGCCGCCCTGTCTCCTGGTTGAGTTCAGGGTAGGCGTTGCTGATTCTCACTGCTCCTTCAGGATCCTTGAGGCCAGCTCTTTCCCCAGCTGAGCAGGACTTCTGAAGTTCAAGGAACGTTTTGTAAACCCATCCTCAGTTTGAGGAGCCCCCGGGTTTACTTTCTGGGTGTGGGAGCCCCTAGCTTGGTGGCTTAGGCTCAGGATTCTGTGATGCCCCCCCCACCATGTCTGCCCCACTGCCCGCCCCCAGTAAAGGCGGCCACTGCGATGGCCCGACCAGGGCCAGAGGTAAGAATTCACTTTTGGAAGCTGAGGTTAATGGAACTTAGTCATTGATAAACAGGTCACATTTCATAAACTTCAAGCTCCGAGTATTTGTGCGTGAAGCAGAGCTGCCAAGGGCAGTAGTAACTTAAGTTCTGGAAATGCCTTTAAGAGGTG